TTGAAAAACTATACTACGATCCGTCGAATTATGCGAGTTATTCGGCGGTGGATAATCTAACTCGCGCCGTTAAACCGAATTTCTCACGGGGAGAAGTCGTACGCTGGCTCGAATCGCAAGACGCGTACACGTTGCACAGGCCATTGCACAGAAAATTTCCAAGATTGCATTACAACGTGACAAACATCGACGATGTGTGGGAGGCAGATTTGATCGAACTGCGAAATCTAAAAAGTTACAACGACGGTTATTCCTATCTGTTAGTAATTATCGATGTATTAAGCAAATATGTCTGGGTAGAACCGCTACGTGACAAAACGAGCAACAGCGTGATAAAAGCTTTTCAACGCGTACTAGCAAAAAGCGAAGGACGAGTACCCGTATACTTACAAACGGACAAAGGTAAAGAATTTGTCGCGCACCCAATGCAAAAATTCCTTAAAGAAAACGATATTCGTTTTCGAGTAACACGCAATCCCGACATTAAAGCCGCCGTTGTCGAGCGCTTCAACAGAACACTGAAGGAGCGAATGTGGCGTTATTTCACGCATAAAAATACGCGACGCTACGTCGATGTTCTACAGGACGTTGTACGCGCTTACAATCACACGCGTCACACGTCCACGAGAATGCAACCCGCGGTAGTAACGAGAGAAAACGCCCGTATCGCGCGTGAAAATATATCGCGTCGTTGGAAAAACAACATATTGAAGAAACGAACGCGAAAGATTAAATATCGCGTTGGAGATCTCGTTCGTATCAGTAGGGCGAAAGCAGCCTTCGAGAAAGGTTACGAGGCTAAATGGAGCGAGGAAATATTTCAAATTTATCGTATTCTCGATTGGCGAAATCCTCACGTGTACGAGCTACGAGATTTAGCAGACGAAGTCATAGACGGTATTTTTTATGAGCAAGAATTAGCACGAGTCGAGAAGAACCTAGAGGAAGAACAATTTATCGTTGATCGCGTGATAAAGAGTAGAGGGCGAGGAGCTAATAAACAAGTGCTAGTTAACTGGCGCGGTTACCCCAGTAAGTTTGACACCTGGATTCCGGCATCGAGTTTAATTTCTCTTCGCGATGGAGGAGGAACAATTTCTTCTAGTACTCCCGAGTAACAGTAGTATGCGCCATTTTCCTAATAATACAACGTCGTCCTTCAGCACGGAATTACCTCACGCTATAGTGTTGCACGGAGAATGGGAGGTTGCGATAAGTGAGATTCAATTTCCTTGCACCTTTTTACACGTGCGTCATAACGAAAATGTGATCAGATTCGTCGACGTTAAACCCGACGAGGAAACGAATGGCCCGTTTACGGCAAAAGAAGCTCCATTTCCAAATGGAATTTACAACGATATCCACGAGCTTATTAAGGCGATTAATATCGCTTGTAAAGAGGCCGAGTCGCATTTTTATTTCGAACAGCAAAGCGCGTCTGGCGGCAAAGTCTACATAAGTATTAACTGCGACGAAAAATGCAAATTGTTGCATCATATAAACTTTTCCGATAATCTTCTACGAATGCTGGGCTTCTCAGCAGCAATTTCCGGTAATCATCACTTTTATCCCAAGCTAGCGATACGTAAACCTAATTCCAATGAGACAGAAGAGAAAGTTTTTCTTACTACTGGATTTGATAAGAAGACGGGGCAGCGACATACAGTCGGTTATTGGAGTAGCGAACCCTATAGTTTGTGGCGTGCTATCCCTGATAAAATGTTCGTATATTGCGATATTTGTGCGCCTTATATAACAGGCGATGTGCGTACTCCTCTTCTCAGAATAGTACCGATCGAGATACGTAGTCATAATTACGCATTTGGTGCAAATTTGGTGAAGCATTTCTCATTTCCAAATTATATCCCCTTGCAGCGAACAAATTTCAGAACGATCGAAATAGATATAAGAGATCATCTTGGAAATAAAATTCCATTCGAATTCGGTACGCTGACTGTGACACTGCACTTTAAACGTAAGCAATAACTTTCTTTCGTACGCGCGAACGCGAAGGTAACGCCAGTCTATAGTTAACAACTCGCGATGGAATATGAGGAGCATTTTGACGCGCGGGATACCGGTGGCAGAGGTGGAATTTCACGTGTTTTCGTCGGTTCACCCTATCAGCGCGGGCATGGAATCGGAAGCTTTCTCGGTGGGTTATTTAGAAAAATACTACCTTTTCTAAATAGGGGTGCGCGTGCTGTAGGAAAAGAAGCTTTACGCGCTGGAATTAACGTGATAGATGACGTCGAAAATAATAAGCCGTTAAAGGAAGCGATCAAAAGTCGACTCGTGGAATCGAGGGGTAATCTGAAGAGAAAAGCCAAAGAAAAAATAAGCTCGCTGATGAGGGGATCCGGATATAAAATATCCACGAAATCCGCAGCGCTTCAGTTTCCACTCGGTGGTCGAGATAGAAATATCGCGCATCGTAAACGCCGTCGGGGGGTCAAAAGAAAATCATCGAGAAGTATCACAGGGAAGAAGAGCAAAAAAGTGACGAAGAAAAAGAAAATTCGTGCTGCTGGAAGAAAAACCAAAAAATCATCCGCTAGGAAACATCGTGGCAAGAAACGCAACGTATCCGACATATTCTCTTAATCGAGATACGATTTTGCTGTTGGAGAAAAGCATATCCTTCTTCATATCCACTCGAGCGAGTGTATAAAGAGCGAACTCGATCTCTTCTCTCTGCCACCTACGCAAACCAGCATTGAGAGTTCGCAATGGATTTATTACAAACCCGTAACTTCGCTCGCAGACGACTCGCCCATAGAATTCGTCATACCCGGACATGGAAAAGACTATCTGGACCTCACTCACACCATGTTGAGCCTTCGCATACGCGTAGAAAGCGAGCGCGAGAAGATCACGTCGGTCGCACCCGATGGCGAGGCAAAAGTAGGAACCGTAAATCATTTATTGCATTCCATGTTCAACCAAATCGACGTATTATATATTTCAATCAAAAGCTCGTATCGCCACCAAACAACGCTTTCGCGTACCGCGCGTACATCGAAGCGTTATTAAATTATGCTTCACCCGCAAAAACCTCCCATCTAACCTCTTATGGAACGCGGATATCCTTATTACATGGACGACACGTTAGATGCGTCAAATCCAAATACAGCGCTCGAGAGACGCGCGCAATACATTCGAGGAAATCGCGCGCTAGATCTCATTGGTCATCTTCACTGCGACGTTTTCAATCAAAATAAATTTTTGATTAATGGAGTGGAGGATAGAATGAGACTCGTACGCTCGAAAAATTCATTTTGTCTTATGGAGAGAAGAGCAAAAATAAGCCCGGGCGTGCTCCTCACACACGCCAGAATGCTGAGTAAAACTACCGCCAAGTATCCCCTTACAAAGGTCGAAGTTAAAACATTCACGATACACGCCGGCGTTGTGAGGGAATCGATAGACAATGCAATACTCGGACAGCTACCAAAACGAATAATAGTCGGCTTTGACGATAACAAAACATTTAACGGTGATAGAAAATTAAACCCGTTTAATTTCAAAAATTACGGAATAAATTTCTTTTCACTGTACGCCGATGGCATGCAAATTCCGAGTAGACCGATACAACCAAATTTTTCGAAAAACGTCCCGCTCTACGCTGAAGCTTATCACACATTATTCTCCGGAACCGGTATCCACTTTCTGAACGAGGGTAATTCTATAAGTAGAGACGATTACGCCAACGGCTACACTCTTTTCGCTTTCGATCTTACTCCCGATCTATCCGCTAATTGCGCGGGACATTGGAATCTCGTAAAACACGGAAGCTTACGATTAGAAGTGAGATTCGAAAAAGCTCTTTCTGCGACTATTAATTGTATCGTCTATGCCGAGTTTGATAACGTTTTAGAAATCGATTCCTCGCGTCAAGTTATTGTCGACTTTTCCGGTTAGTTACGAGGGGTAGAACGGCTCTCGCGAGAAAATTATTTTCCCTCCCCCTACTACGCATTTTTTCCCCCGTCTAATTGGACGTGAGAGTACGAAAAAGCTTCAGTCTTGTTCGTGACACCAACGCCAGCGTTTCGTGACGTAAAAGAGTAGCGAAAATTCGGATATAATATCATAATGGATATAGTCATCGACATACAAGGTTTTCGCGATGTCGAAGAAAACTTTATTCCGAAAGAAGTCGCGGTTCTAGCGATTAACGCTGCGATCACCGGACATTGGATTATGACGTCACCCTGTCCATTTGAAGATTTACCCGTGAGAGCAAAACGAGAAAACAACTGGCTCACACGAAATTATCATGGAATCGAATGGTTCGATGGAGACGTCAATCCAAAAAACTTTACGATACATCTGCGTGACATTACACGACACGCTCGCTACATCTATACCAGAGGACAAGAGAAGACTCGATATCTGAGCAATCTACTTTCTAGAAACGTATATAATCTGGAGGGAATTTCGCCGGCTTTCAAAAATCTACCAGATTTCGAGGACCGTGGACAACGCTGCACGCATCACGGATTTCGAGCCAGCGCTGAATCATGCTGCGCCTTACGCAACGCTTACAAATTGAAATGCTGGCTAACTGTACGACATAGCAACAATTCAAGTTATGATAACCTTTCCTCGGGAAATTGGAGCGAGAGCGTCTTCGAGAGCGAAGAAACCGACAGCGAGAATTCTTCAATTCAATTTAAAAATCAAAAACACGATATCGCTCGCAACATTGAAGCGCGGAGAAAAAACATCGCGACGAAAAAGACGAATCAAAGCGCGGACAAACAAGTGACAGAAGAGGAGAAAAAAGACCTCTCAAAATTCGACTCGTGGACCGATAGAGATAAAGCTAACACCAACGTCTCGTAAGCATCGAGCATTTTAGGGAGCTCCACGTTGCATACACCAGCAATAGAGGTACACTTTGAATTAACGCAAACATTTCCTCTCTCACGCTCTCCGACGACGAGAAATGAATTCGCTGGAAGTTTTAAACGCATTACATCATCTCCGTGTATGACATGCGGGGGGACTATCCTGCCGATCGACTGCCGAGGGTGTGGACGAGGTCGACCGCCATTGTCGCTAACACGAACGATCACGATCGATCCGGGCAACACTGGGTCGCCTTTTACATCGATGAGGGACAGGAACGTATTTTGATAGCTATGGCTTGCCGCCCTTGGATCCAAGATTCCTCTTACGACTTCGACGAAACTCCACCACGTATCGCTGGAATACGACAACGCTGCAAGGAATACTTTCTCAAACTTGCGGACAATACTGCTATGTATTTCTATATTATTTGTGTAATGGCTATAATCTTAATCAGTTTCTTGATCTGTTTACCTCTGATTGTAAGCGAAATGATCGTTTGATTGTACAATTATTTCATAAAATTTTTCTTTATTGTCAACATAAACTCGTAAATTCTCATGCTGTATGCCGTCATGTTCAAACGTGTACTCTTTTAAAAAAATAAAATAACTATTTGCAATATCTTTTTTAAATAAACGTTTTTGAACTTGTAAATATTGCCTTGTTTCTTACTCCTACCCCTTCAACCTCATTTACAATAGATACATTTTCCCCGTATTACAGACTCAGATAATGTACATTAAATACACAAAATACAGAAAGAATTTTTTAAAGCAATGCTCGAAGACGACGCGCCGCAACTGCTGAACGTGTTCGTTCCTGTTTTACCTTCCCCCCCAAAATTCTTCCGAACAAAGGCAAGTCTCTCTCTAGGCCTACAAATTTTCCGTATAAGATTTCCTTTATCAGACATTCACCGAATCGCCTACACGTCGCAGACGTTGCCTCCCCGCAACAACAAAAGCGACCATCATAAGATTAGACCGATATTCATCCCCCTCTGTTCGTACTCTAGCCGCGTGACAAAGAATGACTGAAGTCCAAATCCCCACTCACCATTTTTCAAACCTCTATTTCGTCTAAGGCCCTCTACCACCCACCCTCTCCAATCGTCTTTTAGGTAGGTATGGGGCGAACCAATCAAATCTTGGGTGAGTATAGGGCGAACCAATCAGAACGCGCCCTTTTGCCTGACTGACCCGTCTAGGCCACGCCCATGGCGCCAGAGGGAGACGTGGAGGGAGTTTGTTTTGACGCCCCATGGCTGCCCATATACTACTCATAATAACAATACTTGATAAGTGCGACATACATACCGGAGTTACCCTAATATCATCATATACTATGTGTATGTACATACGTACCGTTCGTGCGTGTGTGTGTGTGTATGTGTTTATTAATATACTTATATCTATATAACATTACATATATTTGTATACAATGTATTAAATATAATTAGTTTTGTAAGATGTACATAAGTAAGCACAACAGAGCGAATATCGATATAGGAGGTGTGTGGTTCAGTGGAAAAGTAGCAGCCTCAAGGAGCAGACTTGGGCCTCGGTTTGAATCTCGACAGGAGCGGAGCTGATTTTCTTGTGCTATCGGTTATGTCTTTCTACAAATTACGTAAGTTCTAGTGGTGAAAACGTGCAATGTAAGTGACTAAATGAGTATTTTGCACTCCTATATGTTTTTTCACTTCAAATTTACGTATTTACCACTAAAAAATACTCGTAATGTATACATTTTCATCACTCAGATATACTCGCGTCCTGCATGAGTACAATCCGTTTTAACCACTCATTTTTACGGAAAAGTTATTATTTGCAACTCCTAAAAACGGAGTCATACTCATTGAGTAAAATGCACGTTTTCATTCACTCAAATTAATCGTTCGCGCGGACTAAAAACGGGCTAAAAACGGTGAAAAATTTTTATAAGTGTTTTTAATACCTTTGATATAAAATATGTCAAAAAGCTGGTGGGCTGGAGCAATTCTACTTACAAATTTGTTTTCAGCAACAAAAAATTCTATAGATGTCACTTACTTTTTTGGCTGCTCTGTGCAAGAAATAACAATTACACTGAAAAGAAGGGAACTTCCGTAAATTTGTAGATAAATATAACATTTTGGGGACTGCTAATGTAATTTAAATAATCACTTACATGTAGTGATTTGTGAAGTCGCAGATAATGAATCTGAAATAAAAATTATGACATATAATTTGTTTAAACAATTATTGTTTTACATTATAAATTTCATTTGAATAAAAATAATAGCATTAATTCGATTCTGTGGAAAGATATATGTAAGTAGTGCATTTTATTATTTTTTCGCCATCCCATTTGTTGCAAAAAGAAATACAAGAAGATGATTATTTACATATTATAAGTGTCGTTTACTAAGTCCGTATAAAGTCTAAAACATGGCACTACTAGTGCATATCGAGATTAGAGAATATCGGATTGAATTTGAACATGACTTCAATTGGGAGAATGTCACGATACTAGATAAAGAGCGTTTTCTTAATACATTTAATATCTGAGTGTCTTCAACTCAACATATAATGCAACAAAATAGTTTCAATTTACGTTCAGATACAAAGGATATACTCGTACATCGAACTTCTACACAATTATTAAAAGATATTAAATAGTTATATTTTGTCGATTTATACATATTATTGTTTATGTATTGACATTGTTCTTTTTTCTTTTTATTTTCCTTGTTGACTTGATGTCTTCCTTATTATATTAAATGTATATTAGTCATATTTCATTCAAGCTGCGATCAATATGCGTTTTCTAACTGGATACTCTTTAGTGATTATAAATTTTAATTGGTGTTGATCCAATCGAGACTAATTCCTTCTATGTCTTGGGATGAGTCATCGGTTTTTAATGTTAATTCTGTAATTTCTTGGACAGAATGATTTCGAAATATTTATAAGATAATTGTTTTAATGTTTCGAATAGATTATAACATCAAATCTGTTAATCTGATGGTGATTATCTATTGGACATGAAGGATCGATATTTTAAAATTGTATTGTTGAGGATGGTTCCAAATTGAACTAAAACGTACTATTTTCTGTTTTTTGTAATAAAGATTTAAGATTGCGTATTAATTACCACGCTGACTCTCACTCGTACTAAGTTTTAAATTTTTTATTCTAAATAACATATGAGTTTTAATAAATTGTAGTAATAGTGTACCCTTCCCATTAATCCAGAATGGTATAAATCATGTTAAAATGCAACATTTTATGAGATATTTAATTGTTTACGATTTTTCATGCTCGTTATATATGAGGGCAAGTGAATAAGTTTTTAGAAAAACATAGTAAAAAGTTTCTTTGATCGATTTATTTTTATTTATCAACATAGTTTCCTTTCAGTTCGATACACTTCATAAAACGATTCACCAACTTTTTCAAGCCGTCCGAATAATATGATTTGTTCAACCCTTCAAAATAAGCCTCTGTTTCGGTGATGAGCTGCTCTCTGGTGATGAATCTCTTTCCTCCGAACCATTTCTTTAGAAAACAGGAAATAGTCGTAGGGGGCTAAATCTGGTGAATATGCTGGATGGGGAAACAATTCGTAGCAGAATTCATTGAATTTGGCCATCGATGCCGGGCACATATGAACCCGTGCATTGTCTTGATAGAAGAGCACTTTCTTCTTCGCGCCAAATGCGAACGTTTTTTCTTTAAAATGTTGTTGAAACGGTCCAATAAGGCTGCGTAATAGTAATTGCCATTGATAGTTTGCTTCGACGGAAAATAATCGATATGAATTATACCGCGTGCATCCCAAAAAACTGTGGCCATTACCTTTCCGGCCGATTTCACGGTCTTCACCTTCTTCGGAGCTAGTTCACCCGGTGAAGTTCATTATTTTGACTGTTCCTTCGTTTCGGATGTAAAGTAATGGATCCATGTTTTGTCCACAGTAATGAATCGATGCAGAAATTTATCTGGATTACGTTGAAACATCTCCAAACATTGTTTTGAAATCGTCACACGGTCACGCTTATGGTCCACAGTGAGCAAACGCGGTATCCATCTTGCCGATAGCTTTTTCATATCCAATTGTTCGTGCAAAATTGAAATCACTGTGCGATGTGATATGCCTGTGGCCTCAACAAGCTCGCGCACTTTCACTCGTCGGTCAGTCAAAACAATATCGTGAACTTCATCGATGATTTCTGACGTAGCAGCCTCAATTGGACGTCTCGAACGAGGTGCATAACATGTAGATGTACGACCACATTTAAATTCATTCACCCAATTGTATACAGTCGCAAACGCTGGTGCAGATGTGCTATGAACATTATCCAACTTGGCTTTGATTTCTTTCGGCGTAAAACTTTTTATATTCTCGTAAAATGTAGCTTTTATAATAACGAACAAATCTAGCCCTGAACGAGACTAAAATGTTCGTTAGTTTATGCAAAAAGTCATTTGTCCACTAAAAATTTGTTTGCGGAAAACTTAATTTCTTTATTTTTGAGCAGTTGCACAAAAATTTACAAGGGGAAAGATTTTTCTTCTTTAAGAATTGCACTATCACGTACACTTAATATTGTAACAAAACAATTTTTTACAGTTAAACTATTATAAAACGACTTTAAAGAGTGGGTATCTTTTTCCCACTATAAAAAATTAAATAATTCCATTAAGATGCATCATATCAAATAGCTGTGTGAAGCATTTGACATCTGACATTTTTCTATGAATTCAAAAAAAAGATTATCCTCGGATTATTTATAGGAACCCAGATAAAAATTTTTTTTTTAAATATTATTGTGATTTTAATTTTTAAGATTAAGAGTTCTGTCTGGCATTAATTAGTCAAGAAAAGATTAAATTTGCTGTTAAAAAATTCTCGAATTTTTTGCTGCCGAAAAAGTTTATTTAAAACCGTTAAAAAGTTGAAGAACGCGAGCAAGGTAGTGCGCCAGGCTGAATGAAGGAAGCCGGCGCGCAGTTGAGTGGAGAAGATCGGATCGCTCGGCAATTCGCACGTATTTGATTTCGTGCGTTAAAATTAGCTAAATTTACATTTTCTCAGCAATAAATTGACGTGGAACATGATTCTTTTTTAATCTGGAGTAGCTCAACGAGATATATAATAAAAGATTTAAGATTGCGTATTAACTACCACGCTGACTCTCATTCGCTCTGATTTTTGGATTTTTTATTCTAAATAACATATAAGTTTTAATAAATTGTAATAATAGCGTACCTCTTCTATTAATCCAGAATGGTATAAACAAATAGTTGAACCAAATATTTTGCAAAGTAATTGTAACCATAAAATTTTTAGTTTTTTGTTTCTTGAATTTTTATTTTTTTAGTTTATTACTCAAAAATCGCATTTAAGTATGAAGTGCATGTCTGATTAACAAATTTAAGTCACATTAGCTATGTTCCTTTATTTAATGTACTGTAAAAAGTGTCTAATTGAACAATTAAATGTACAAATTATCAGTACAAAATTGTTTTTGTGAATTTAATTTCAGATGCAAGTGTTACGTCCGGACTCCACAGTTCTTTTCTTCGACTAAAAACTTTCGTCATCTCCATAAAAATTATTAACCAGTAATACCGATAGACCATCTGTTACAATAGTGACGAGCCAAATAATATTTCAAGCTAATAATCCATTCGGGACAGAACCGTTGGGTTAGATGGATTTGGAACCAAGTGCCAAATAGGCGAACCTTATCCCGAGGAACGGGAAGAATAAATAGATTAGAATTATAAAATAAAACAGCAGTTGTGCGCAATAAATGACACATGTGGCTCGAACCTATTGGACATCCGGCAAATGGTCGATGACGAAAGTTGTCTTAGACACATATCCCTGTATCCCATTTCATAACCGATATCCCTAATCCTAATCCTAATCCTGGATTGGCCCAGCAGCACACGTGTGCTCTGCACTCGGCACCACTAACTCGCCAATATAAAAAGAGAGGCCCTCCACGAGGAACAGCAGTCAGCAGTCAGAACTCAGCAGTCAGCAGTCAGTTATCAGTCAAACTCCATCTCCGAAATTGCCGGTTCGCGATACACGTTAGTTACGTCAGTAAAACTCCACCTCTGACACAAAACTTTGCCGATCTGTGATCTTAACCGATCATAGTGGTAAGCCGCGATCCGTTAGGTCGAGTGATCTATTTGTTATTACTGTCAAGTAATAAGAGTGACTAGACCGGAGCCTCCACATCCGAGTGGCAACCTTCCGGAGTGCTGAAACCAACGATTTCGGCCGCTAGATCCACCCACATCCGCAGAACAATAGTAAGTCCCATCCACACACACACACACGCGCGCGCGCGTGTGTGTGTATAAGAGACCACTATAATTTACACTAAATTATAGTGCAGCGCCCAAACCGTCCTTTCAAAGGGTGGCTTCGAAGCCGGATCTACCGGGAGGCACGGAGACTCTTGGATGAAGAGTACAAGAGATACCTCGGGAAGAGTCGTCCGGCCGAGGATCGCTTACCACCACTATCATCCTCGTCACCACCGGCTCCGCCGGCTAATCAGGCTAAAGTTATACCTCCTCCGCCTCGAACACCTTCACCTCCTCAGCTACCTCCTTCTTCTCCCCCTCGATCTCCTTCACCCGCGTTTTCGGACGCTCTTACAGAGAGAATCTTTCCCGATACTCCTCCACAATCATCCGAATCATCCCACCCAATTTCCCCCAGAAGAAGTCCATCTCCGACGAACTCCACGGATAGCGTGGAGTTCCTAGAGGAAATTCTTCCACCCCCACCTAGATCCTACTTCCGGATCCTAGAGAGTGACACCTTTGAGTCACTCATCTTCCAATTCCCGCGGATTACTACCGCATCCATCCCTCAGGGGGCCTACATAATCGGCCCTCATTATTTCGATCCTGAGGAAATCCGCAATGCTATCACTGGTCAAGCCTCAACCTCCAGTATCCCCGTATTCCTCCCGAATTCCACCCATGCAATCCTAGTTCCAGTAAGATTCTTTTACAATCTTTTCCCTCCTTCCTCCGTTTCCATCCTTGAAATATGTTAAGCCAAACCTAGCCTAACCTCTAACATAGTCACATACAATGTATAGCCATTATAGTAGAATAGACAATACTGTAGCCGTTATAAAATAGTAATGTTAGCAATGTATAAACTAGATGTAATAAAATCATGTTATTCCTCTCGCTCTCGTCATTTACTTTTAAAACCCGCCTAAGATAAAACCTCGTAATCACTAAACCTTGCTCTTTCAAAGCTCGCACGTGATCCATTCGCGAGTTAAAGGGATTTTCCTTGACTCGAAATTCGGACCGACGATCGCATCGCCCGTAGGAAACAGGTTGTCATAGCGTCTTTAAAGACATTGACCCATATTCCGAAGCGGGCAATAAAAAGGGTGCGCTCGACTCGCAGTGTTTGCTTCCGGGCAAATACCTGCGAGACTAGAGTCTGACCTTCCACGCTCCATCCTTTCTACTCCCTTCTCTCTCTAAATCCATTTTTCCGGAATTTGGACGTAACACAAGTATAGCATATGTAAAAAAATTATTAAGTAATTTACCAAATGCTAGTGTAACTGTTGAATATACAATAGTCGCAAAATATATTTTTCGTATAATACTAATTTACTTTTACATTTCCGAAAATTAATGTTATATCTTCAACAGTTACGCTAACATTTTGCGAGAATTTTGTTTTTGCGTTTAGATCTCAATGAACAGAGAGCGAGTGAAAAACAGGTCTTTTTCGGTTTTGTTTTTTTTTCTACTGACTAATAAATCGATTTTAATGTTCTCTTATTTTGTAGGTATTTTGAATACCTACATTTTTTACCGAACTTTTTTCCATACAATCAATATTTTTTGTTTCATACACGAAATACGTGCTTTTTACAACTATTCGATTCTTTTTCGCATATTTTCTTCACAAGTCTCGAGTCTTAAACATACGCATTTCTTTTCTGATGGCCTTTCGAGACTTTCGTGAAACTAAATACTGGTTTATAATTTTTTTCCGGTAAAATTCTGCTTCTACTAAACTATTCTTGCTACTCAAGCTTATGAAGGAGTGATATACTGTATAACGCGTAAAAAATCGTAAATAATTAAATATCTTGTAAACTGTTGTGTTTTAACATGATTTATACTATTCTGGATTAATGGGAGGGGTACACTATTACTACAATTTATTAAAACTTATATGTTATTTAGAATGAGCCTCCTGATAACGGATCTGAAAAGAGGGACCGGGCTCCGCGAAACTCGTAAAATGCCAATCAACCCGGAAGGAATAACAACTTTAATGCGGACCCGAAAAAGTGATAAGATTGCATAAATGTACCGAAGTCACGCGATAATAAAATCCAAGCCTTCTCGTCAAACTGACCAATAATTTCATCTTAAGAAAACAGTCGCCACGTCGCGTTTAAAAAATCATAAAACGCATGGAATAACTTTCCACAGTAACATTATCTAAGATCGGACTCGCGACTGACAATGATTGCCCGGCACGTAAAACTATAATAGTTGTACACGACAATCGCCTGTTTACCTAACCACATTTTCCGCGAGAATAACAAATTCGTCATCTGTCTGGAAAAGCAATCTTGCTTTTTAGAGGAAAACGTAAATCATTTCTTTTCTTCTCAAAACTCCTTTAATGATGCACTTTAGATAGAACGCTATAAAAATCATAAATCTGGCGTGACATTGCAACTAACTATTGCATCCTAGACAAAGGGCACGCCTTTTTTTCGGGGTATAATATAAATAGAGGTCTTGTGGAAGCGCAGAGCGTCAGTGTACTCAATGTAGTCAGTATAGTTAGTTTTAGTCACTACGGGAGTCGAAAAAGTCAGTCCACATCAGTTTTAATCAGTACGAAAGTCGAAAAAGTTCAGTCCATGTCGCGCCAGTTCGCAAAAGAAAACCAGTGCCTTTTCCGACTATATTTTGTCGCGCATCTCAGTACTCGTCATACGTCTTGTGCTATCATCCAGGCATCAATCACTAGACCACCCCCTTGGCGCTCTTGGGTGGACAGCGGGCCTGCTCGTCGAGTAACGTCAGTCCGGGATCCCGTAAATCAACCACCGAAAGTAAGTCGTTTGTTATTCCTTCCGAGCGTGCACGCGCCTTCCCCGTAACACACATATACACGTATATACATGTATATATATATATATATATATCTGTTATAGGACAGCGACAGGAGTAGCGCTGGAAGTCCCGAACCGGCGACAGGTGGTGCACTTCACGAACACCAAATGATGATAGATGATATAAAGAATTCACGAAAGAGGCGACGGAGTCCGTCACCTGAAAATCTCCATCAAGCGAAACGCGCGGCAGTA